AGTGGACTGTGATGCATATGCTACCATAAATCAAGGTGGAGCCTGAATATCTTCCACACGTTTTTAGTGCATGCACATCCGATGGATAAACAATTTTCATAGCAAGTCCATATACAGCAGAACACAGTGTGTTCGGCCGAGGCCTAACCGCAGAAGAGAGAGAGAGTCCCGCTCCCAACATTTTGGAGGCAGAGAATTTGAGTTTCCGCTGGAGCGGTAGTTCCACTTTCCGCAGTCGCCGTGGCATTTTTCGCTCCCAGGGGCCGATTCAGCGGAAGCGCTACTCTTACTAAGTGCATGTGTGACCGGGCCCATATGAGTATATACCTGAGTGATAACATGAAAATACTCAAAAAGAAACTGATAAGGGGCCGTCCGGGGTTACCGATTGTTTTTACAAAACGAAAAGTTTTAGTATTTTTCAGCCCCCACCCACTCACCCACCTTTTCTGCAGGAAAAACGAATTTCAATAAAATATTGATGTCAATTTTCGACACCCAGAAGAACCTTGGCATTCTCCATCAGCATTCAATAATTATTTTCAAAACGAAACTCCATCAAACCCACCCACCCACAAACGAAAACATTTCGTTTTGAAAATATTATTGGTAACCTTGGACGGCCCCTAACATGAAAAGGAGAAAATATAAACAAGTGGGCAGATAGAGGGACTGACGTGCAGATAGAGGGGCTGCAAACACCGACTACAATACAGAGATACCTGGCAAGGTAACAACATATCTAAGATTTAAAGTGCACTCAAACGTCTCTTATCCGGATAAGGGAACGTCTCTCTACAAGGCACCTTCAGCCTGAGTTGCTAAGACAAACGTGCTGTGATTTCAGATTTTTTCACTCGCATGCGCACATACGCTCATTTTGCAACTCTTGTCACTACCATCCTGTGTAACCCACACATTCTCATGAATGGATTCCTTTGTTTAATCCTGGACATGACCAATACGTGCCAAATCAACTTCATCCAAAACTGATATGATACATGAAAGATGAGTTACCAAGAGCTACGGTCAGTGTCCGGTCCCAAGGTGCCCGGATAGGAAACGTTTGAGTGCACACACAAAACACAACACAACGGCAAAACATAGCTGTTGCTACAACTCTTGCTGCTGAGATGGAAACCAGTAAACTGGTGATGCTAACCTGTATGCATCCATGGTTAACTTGTTAATGTCATTGCGAACATTGTTCAGCTGCTCTTGATCAGGTTGTGACCGCATGTCAGACTATGAGAGAAAGAGAGAGAGAGAGAGAGTGTGAGAGGGGGAGAGAGAGGGAGAAAGAGAGGGAGAGAGAGAGGAGAGAGAGAGGGGAGAGATAGGGGAGAGAGAGGGGAGAGAGAGAGAGAGAGAGAGAGAGAGAGAGAGAGAGAGAGAGAGAGAGAGAGATGGAAAGTGAGAGAGAGAGACACACAGAAAGAGAGAGAGAGAGAGAGAGAGAGAGATAGAGAGAGAGAGAGAGAGAGAGAGAGAGAGAGACAGCGAGATAGAGAGACAGAGAGAGACAAACAGACCGACAAACAGACAGACAAACAGACAGACAGACAGGCAGAGAGAGAGACATAGATAAAAGCATGAGACTGCATTATTTTTCTCAACCCTTTCATACAACAACTGCTTGTTCTCTGATGAGTTCTCATCATATTACGGAATGAAACGACTTCTCAGGAGAATAGCTACAGTCCATTCACAAATAATTGATCTCCGCACTTTTCTAATCTGATTTAACCCTTTATTACCGGATTACTTGCACAGCATGCACCAGAATTACGAATTTCAGCACAATTTCCAGCTTCACCATGTCATAACTTTGGTCTCCTTCACTTGATTTTCACAATCTAGGGCTCGTCGGAAAGCTCTTGGCGAGAGCAACACCAGGGTACCAAGCTCCATTATCCAATCGCCACAAATCAGGCGCAGTAACACAGCAAAGTCGTCTCCAAGCCTGATATGCAAGCAAATTCGTCCCATCAACGCCATTCCACTCTACTTCATCGCAGAACGCTCAAATTTGTTTGAGACGATTCAAACTTCAGCCGACTACGTCATTATCATGTGCTTAGTCGCTCAAAGACCACACGAAAAGGGATTTTCCCCAAAAATGGCGAAGTGATCGATCAAAAACTTGAATTTGCCGAGATGAGAATACGTCGCGCGATATCTCTGGCGTCCGACATCGTAACTCTTCAGCGATTATTGCATTGGATAGCTTGGAGTTTCCGCTACCAAATAGACCTTTCGATTGTTGAATTCGCACAACAAATGATGGAGTTACGAAGATATTACTGGCCTACAGACTTTCGATCATATATGATCGAAAGTCTGCAGGCCGGTAATAAAGGGTTAAACCAAAGCACAAATCAATTTCAATTTCGCTGGAAATGGGTTTTGGATCAGGATGTCTGCACCATTACCCATGGTTAACCCGGTCAAAACACTGAAAACCTGGCAGAAAAATTTAACTTCCTTATGGCCTATCTTTTGGAGAAATAGACACCGAAACATGAAAAGCACTCCAAAATGCATGGCAAAACCTATCATACCCGGTCAACTGGGACCAATTTATGACCAAAAGCAAGAGCATGGATAGGTTATATGCTTGTCATGGACATTGGCAGACATTTGCAATAGCAGCTTGCAACTGGTACATGTGGCATGCTGGTCGCAGATAGTGCAGTTGGCCCACTTAGTGGCTATCAGTATTGCCAAGAATCCATACCCCCCAGAGTGTGCAAATCCTGATCAGTTCCAAAAAAGAAGCCCGCTCGGCGGAATTCCTTCAATACGCCATTCTTGGTGACAAATGAGTTCTTTTCCATTTTCATGAAAATGGCGAAGTCAACAATGTACAGCCTGTGTATCAACAAGAGGGTTTCAGCCAAGGCGGTTGCGCTTTCCTTCTGTCACTAAGCCTGGGGAAAAAGCTCTCCTCCAGTCAATAAAATACATCTGACCACATCTAGTGTATCTACTGGATGTGAGAAGACCAGTGTGAAGACACACAGCGGTAAAGAACAACTCAATCCGATCAAATCTAGATATTGTACTGTACCTTGAGAGACAGTGAAGTGCTTCTTGTAGATAGACTGCGACGTGATCGACTAAACCAATGAACAGACAGATCATGACCGTGTGCATGCACATACACATGCACACATACACACAAACACATACACACATGCACACACACACACACACACACACACACACACACACACACACACACACACACACACACACACACACACGGAAACACACACATGCACACAAACACACAGACAGACAGACAAACACACACACACACACACACACTCACACACACGCACACACACATGACCCGCATCATCACCACACAAAATGTACATACCACCCAAAATCACTGTACGCACCCCATATAGACTCATCCATATTCTGAGCATGCCCTTGCAAAACAACGTTAAGCCAAACAGTGCGAACAAACATATCAAAAAAGTAGAGCCAGATTATGTGTCATGATATGGAAAAGCCTGACAATAGTGGCCTGGACTGTGTGTCATGATATGGAAAAGCCTGACAATAGTGGCCTGGACTGTGTGTCATGATATGGAAAAGCCTGACAATAGTGGCCTGGACTGTGTGTCATGATATGGAAAAGCCTGACAATAGTGGCCTGGACTGTGTGTCATGATATGGAAAAGCCTGACAATAGTGGCCTGGACTGTGTGTCATGATATGGAAAAGCCTGACAATAGTGGCCTGGACTGTGTGTCATGATATGGAAAAGCCTGACAATAGTGGCCTGGACTGTTCATTTTAAAAAGTAAGAGCTGATGTGAACTTACCTGGTAGTCGAGTCCTTTGCAGAACTCTTCTCCAAGCCAAGAAGGCATGCTTCCAACGGTGGACAGCATTCAAACAAGGATGATGACAAACGTGCCAACAACAGACAGCTACAGAAGACAATGAAGAAAACCAAGCATAACATACTTCACACTTCACAATTTTCTCCGTCCGTTACCACATAGCACCAGCAGCGGCAACTGGCAATGGCAGCCGCCACTAGCAATGGCAGCAGCAGCAGTATCAGTGACAGCAGCAGTGGCAACAACAACAACAGCAGCAGCAATAGCTAAAGCAGCAACAACAGCAACAACAGCAGTAGCAGCAACAACATAACAGCAACAGCAGCAACAGTAGCAGAAGCAGCAACAGCAGCAACAGCAACAGCAGCAACAGCAGCAACAGTAGCAGAAGCAGCAACAGTAGCAGAAGCAGCAACAGCAGCAGCAGCAACAGCAGCAGCGTCCTCATCAGCAGTAACAACAGCAGTTGCAGCAACAACAGCAGCAGCAGCAACCGCAACAGCAGCAGCAACAACAGCAGCAACAACAGCAACAACAGCAACAGCAGCAACAGCAACAGCAGCAGCAACACGCAAGTCATTCTCTTACTGATCTCGTAACAGACTGCTGCACACATTTCGACTTACCAATCAACACTGCGAGCACGGTCTGCAGACACATTTCGACTTACCAATCAACACTGCGAGCACGGTCTGCCGATGATAAACTGCTAGTGTCCTCTGCCTCTTCTCGCAATTGCTGCAGACGATTTTGAAACTTGCTCAACAACCTATTGGTGGACAGACAGATAGGCAAGAACACCACCCCGTATAACATTACCTTTTCAAACATATCCAGCACATGCACATCCATGTATTGGCAGAGCACCACCATTACATACATATAATTCACTTGTGCCAGCAGTATTGCGGCAATGGAAAAGAGAGATATGACGCCTTCGAGATCACGGACGGCTTTAGAAGACACAAATCTATTTTTGAAAGTGCATAATGGGTGTAGGTAAAACGGTAGATTATTCGTTTATTCCTTGAATTGGTATTCAAGCGAATAATCGTTCGTGTAAATTGCGGTTTGTTATATCAAGAGCATACATACTATATAGAGACAAGAACATTTCATCCATTTTGCCACAGTATGCAGCTTGCGGATTGGACTTTCCTTGTCAAGCAAAGTCGATCTGGAGGCGTTCCGTACCCTTGCTGCTGACTGAAGCGGTTGGGTGGGCATCTGTGCCCGAGTGGTGTCGGCACCCTAGTTTTTGTCTTCTTTTCGCATATTTCTTCTTTTTCTGAAACTGTTGTGGTCTTTTGTATCTATTCGAAGTGGCTTATGCGAACATTTTTGGCTGGTTTGCATGATTTGCATGCCCATTAATGCAGCTGCAGGCCATGCTGATGTCTACGCGAACAAGCACATAATAAATGCAGCTTATCTATATGAGTAACTTCTTACAAGTATACTACAGGTCCACTCTCCATATAACGTAATCTCTGGGACCACGCGAAAATTATGTTATATCGAGAGTTATCTTATGTAGAAACCCGTGTGTAAAATACAATATGTACCTCAAAATGAAGGGTATTTCAAGGCGGGTTCACGGGTTCACCCATGCAAACATGCACACACTGTACCACCATCGACATCAGATGCAATCAATGCTGCAGAATACTCTACTAGTAGAATGCACAATAGGATTAAACCGGTAGCAAAGCAGTAAGCGACCACCGTGATCAATCAAGGTTTTAATAAGACACTACAAAAGAAAGAACATGGATGCAATCAACAGATCAACAGACTTATGTTCACAACAGAAGTAAAGGCAGCAAAGCAGTCAGCGGCCAAAAAGTCAACACATCTTAAAAAGTCAACACATCTTAGAAAGGCAACACATCTTAGAAAGGCAACACATCTTAGAAAGGCAACACATCTTAGAAAGGCAACACATCTTAGAAAGGCAACACATCTTAGAAAGTCAACACATCTTAGAAAGACAACACATCTTAGAAAGGCAACACATCTTAGAAAGTCAACACATCTTAGAAAGGCAACACATCTTAGAAAGGCAACACATCTTAGAAAGGCAACACATCTTAGAAAGTCAACACATCTTAGAAAGGCAACACATCTTAGAAAGGCAACACATCTTAGAAAGGCAACACATCTTAGAAAGACAACACATCTTAGAAAGACAACACATCTTAGAAAGGCAACACGACACTACAGCCACGGTGCTGTCGTAACATGCACAGCGCACTGCACATAAAGCCACGAATGAAAACAGTTCTCAAGCAAGTTCCAAAAAACAAGAATCGCACAGCTTTCCATCTTCATCTTTACTCTGACACATATGGTGATAGTGTCGCGAACAATTGCGGCACTGACGCAGAACGAGTTGCTCGCTCACAAGAGGGCAAGCAAAACAAGCAGATCTGGAACACCCGCCTTCATCGGACCCGGACTCGCTACTGCTGCAGTAATTGTCGCTGCTGCCGCTGCTGGTGCTGATTGCATCTGTCACTTGAATGGTTTCAACTCCACTGCCGTCAGCCATTCACTCAGTGCTGCTTCTGTTGCCAGCCTTGCTGCTGCTGCCGCTGCTGCTGGTTGCATCACTAACGATTTCAACCTCACTGTCCTTAACCATTGACTCAGTGCTGCTTCTGTTGCCAGCCTTGCTGCTGCTGCCGCTGGTTGCATCACTAACGATTTCAACCTCATTGTCCTCAGCCATTGACTCAGTGCTGCTTCTGTTGCCAGCCTTGCTGCTGCTGCCGCTGCTGCTGGTTGCATCACTAACGATTTCAACCTCATTGTCCTCAGCCATTGACTCAGTGGTGCTTCTGTTGCCAGCCTTGCTGCTGCTGTCGCTGCTGCTGGTTGCATCACTAACGATTTCAACCTCACTGTCCTCAACCATTGACTCAGTGCTGCTTCTGTTGCCAGCCTTGCTGCTGCTGCCGCTGCTGCTGGTTGCATCACTAACGATTTCAACCTCATTGTCCTCAGCCATTGACTCAGTGCTGCTATCATGGTTGTGGTGGTGGGTGCTGCTGCTGGATGCAGCTTCAACAAACTGAGCTTGAACCTTAGCACGTTGCGGCTTGAAGAAGTCGGTGATGTTCTTCTGCTTCTTGGCAGTGGCTGCAGTCAAAAGGAAGTCATCAATGTTAGCCATACTCTTTTGAATGGCAGGAGGAACCGATCGTGAATTCATGATGAAGGCTGTCAGAGTAGAGAGGCTACCATACGTTTCCGCGAAGGTTGGTGGTGGGACAGAAGGTAATTCCCCATCACTATCATCACTTTGTTCATTCTCTGCTGGCTTGGCTGCTACATCTGCCACAATGCTCTCCACAGTTACCTCCTCCTCCGTGGCAGCTTCATCGTCGGCACAGACGAAATCACTCACAGTGGTGGTGGTGTCGATCTGCAGCTTCTCCGTAGCGTCACTCCACAACGCAGACAGTTCGGATTCAGCGAGGTCCAACTCATCCTCCACTGGTCTAGCACCCTCAGCAATCTGTGGTTGAAAGCGTGCATGCCTCCAACAATTGCTGATCGTCTTTGCCGCAACAGCTTCCCACGACGCAGCTGTCAGCAGAGCAGCATCCTTCAGGTCGAAGAAGCCACCAGGGTTTGCCAAGTCCAGCTTGTTCGAGTCGAATGCTGCAATCAGCTTCTGGATGACTCTGCGGCGATACTGGGCCTTGAAGCTGCGTATAATGCCCTGATCAAGTGGCTGAGTGACGCTTGTGGAGTTGGGTGGTAGGAATGCTACCTTCATGTTGGACAATGTCAAGTCCCGCACACCAGCAACATGAGCCGAGCAGTTGTCCATGAACATGATGATGTTGCGTGTCTGTTGAGCCATATCTGCGTTGACGGACAGCAGCCATTCTTTGAAGAGCTCGCCAGTCATCCAAGCGTTTCTGTTGGACTTATACGTAACAGGCAACGATTGGACATTCTTGAAGCAGCGAGGCTTAGCATAATGCCCGATCATGAGCGGAGTGAGCTTGTCACTGCCATCGAGATTACAGGCAAAGAGCAATGAAACTAGTGTTGAAACGAGCGTATCTATAACTAAAGAGCGAGCCGTTCCACTAACGAGCGAGCTATCGAGCGAGCTAACGAGTTTTCAGTGAGGTGGCGAGGATGATATAAATTTATTTTTGATGATTTTTTTGTTGTTTTCTTAAAAAATCAATTAAATAGTTCATGGTTCTATCATTTTGTGCTTGTATTTCTGATAATATCTGTTCAATGAAACAGGTTCAAGCAGGTTCATTGAAAGAAAAGAACCAAACGATATCAGTCAAGAGAAACAGCTTCTGAAGGCAGGTCTGGCAGTGCTGGCATGTCATATTCCTCTGCAGGATCGAATAGAGGCTTGGGAGCTGGCGTAGAACGTAGCTCGACGGAGTCTACCAGCTTCAAGAGACTAGCATTCATATGTAAGAAGATGAGGGCATCAATCATCTTATGTGAAAGCTGGCACCTCCGTCGGTCCACAACAATGCCCGCAAACGAAAAGACCCGTTCAGACGGCACGGACGTAGCGGGAACGCATAGGTACTTCTTCGCCAGAAGTGCAAGCTGAGGAAACCTGGTGGTGTGTACTGCCCACCACTCGAGTGGGTCGATGCTACGCTTTGCCGGTTTCTCGTTCAAGTACGCAGTGACTTCCGCTATCACAGAATCAGCATTCGTGTCATCCTCACAGCCAAGGAGATCGTCGAGAGCAGAGTGGGCTGGCTTGCGCTTGGTGGGCAGCTCGACCTCGCTGCACTCGCTGCTACCAGCTATGGTGGCCTCGTGGACGAGTGTCTCCTCAATACTGTCACGCTGCTGTGGTGAATACTTCAGGTCCCTGAAGCGCGGATTCAAGACTGCTGCCAATACGTACAAGCTGTCCGAATGGAGACCGTTGAGATTGAAACGGTGCTCAATGCGGTCATGGAGGCGCTTCTTCAACGACGACACGGCTAGCAGCTCATCATCGCCTTCATCATCGTCACTGTCGTCATCATTGATGCAGGCCGCCTTCAGGCCGGTCAGAAGGGGAAGATACCACGACAATGTGGAGTACTTCTCCCCTCCCAGATGCGTCGTCACGGAATCAACCTTGCGTAGGATAGACAGCAGCTGCTTGGCTGTCTCCCAGCAGGTGGATGGCAGTTCCAGCGTCTTTCTTTCCTTGTCCGTCATGTCTGCAAGCAGCAGTTGGAGGGGCGACTGAAGCTCGACTAGTCTTGCCAACATACGGTAAGAGCTATTCCACCTGGTGGGGCAGTCCTGGATTACCTTCTTTGCCGGTACTATGCCCAGCAGTGCCTGCTTCTCAGCCAGTTGCGTGGTCTTCAGTGCTGAATGTTTCATGTGGCCCACCAAACGGCGACAGCGTGCAAGTAGGTTGCAGAGCTGCTTCTTGTCCAAAGCATCCTTGATGGCATTCTGGAGGCGGTGTGCAGCACATACAAGACTTGCCCATTCCAAGTCTCCCCAGAGAATTCTGCCTGAGGGCACAGAAGACAGAAGGACCAGACGAAAGCAATGTATTAGCCCTTTGTCATATTTAGATTATGTTCAGCAGCCTATATAAATATACACAGTGAACAGTGTATGTTGTCATGATGTTGAACTTGAAATGCCAATCAGGAATTTAGCCCCTGCACAACTAATGTTTACCATTGCATCAAATATTCTCCCTCAGTGCACAGTTCACACTTAGTACAAGCCAGTCAATTATAATCAATAAAACAATATTGTCATCATGAATAGAAAACGCTAGCATGCATACTGTGAACTAACCTGCCAGCTCAACGTTCGCTGCTTCATCGTGCACAACCGCTACCACTTTCGAAGTTGGTATACCAAATCGCGCCACAGCACCCTTGAGCTGCTGGCTGATGTTGATGCCAGTGTGGGATTCGGGAATGTGGACAGTTTCCAGGACGGCAGACACAAGCTTCCAATTCTCATCAACAAAGTGAGCTGTTGTCGTCGCATACGCTTGAGTGGCCTTGGACGTCCAAATGTCCGTCGTTAACGCAACATAGTCTGCCCTGGCGACTAACCGTTTTACTTCCTGCTCGCCATCATCGTGCTGCTTGCGCAGCAACGATGCTACGTGTGTCGTGGATGGAATCACGTAGCCTGGCTCCAAGAGCTGAAGCAATTCCTTCAACGAATGAGATGCAAACAGATTGAGAAGCAAAAATTTCTTGTCAAATCCACTCTTTCCAAACGAGTCGAGTCGTGACAAACATATGTTGCAAGAAGTTGCAAGAACTACCGCACATGTTGTTGAAAACAAGGTTTATCTACTAGTATAATAAGAACTAACGAGTAACGATTCATTCCAAAATTCTGCAAAATATTTATCACTAGTGACTATTCAACACATCAAGTCATCAACCACTCGAATCAACAACAACGGTGTCTCACTCTTACCTGTAAAGCTTTGTCTTTGACGAGAATGATCGGTCGACCATCGAGCCAAGGCCAACGTGACAGCACACGAGTTATTTCTCGAGAACGAACGACGGAGCAGGGCTTGGACGTTGGCTTGAGGGAGGCGAACGAATCTAAGCTCAGCTGCTTTGAACTTTCGCCGGAGTTGTTACTGCTGCTCTCGACGGGCTTCACTTCGGACGGGTGCTTCGTGTCCAGATGTCGCTTCAGGGCAGTCGTCGAGCAGCCATTATACGAATACACTATTTTGCAGAGATTGCAAGTGGCCTTATTTTTCGCCGCATCGCGGGAGAAAAACTTCCACACTACTGATCGCGACTTCCGCTCGAAAGGAGAGTTGACAACCGCGTCTCCTTGTGACAAGTCAAGAGATGCGGAAGAAGACATCTCTGTCTGAAGTGAAGCTTCAAAGACAACTGAAGTTCAGATAACTCAGTGTCCAAAGGTAAGGACTTTTATTGGTACAGAGTCAGTACGGGTGATGTGAGTTCACCAGTGTCTGCAGGTGCAGCAGGTGCACAAATGTCAACTAGTACTAGACCTACGTGGCTAGCTACCCGCGCGCGCGCCTTGAACGGTGCACACGAGTAGATTGTCACTGGTGCAGGAGGAAGTCACAGTTGTGGTTGACTACCGGTATGTGTGCACGGTCACTGTACTGAGTCAGTGCAGCAAGTCCCCACAGTCAGTACAGTACAGTGGACTATGTACATGTCTGTGCATGCAGTAGCTAGCTACCCGCGCGCGCGGGATTAGATTGTAGGTAACACTTTGTAACAGTGCCCGTGTAAACACTCTTGCCAACTGAGTCTTGCAGCAAGAAGTCACTGCGTGCATGCAGTGCAAGCATCAATGCAGCACCACTGCAGTGCGAATGGCTTTCACTTTTACGCGCGACAGGATTATGTAGGCCTAGTTGACTACTACTAGTACTAGGACTAGGACTAGGACTAGGACTTGTGTGCGTGACCCGCATTGCAAGTGGTGCAGCAGGAGCAAAATCTACTTGCTAGTTTGAGTTTGAGCGCGACTCTGTGTACATGTTGTGGTTCAAGCACGGTTGGTGCATGCAGTGTAGACTGCATGTACCGCGGTACCGGTACATCTACTAGCACATGTGATATGAGTTGCAGTGTGACTGCACTGTGTAGTGCAGACCTCGACCTACCTGTCGACATGACTGTCACGCATGCACTGACTGTCGATCTAGTGGGTACACCGTACGGTATACGGTGCTCGTTAGTGCAAACGAGCTGATGGTGTAAACGAGCCGAGTTTCTGGCGAGCGAGCTAACGAGTATCCGGTGAGATCGTTTCAACACTAAATGAAACCCGTTCCTTCTTCTTCTTACCTCCTCTACACTTCTCGCCACGAAACGCTAGCGTCTTGAGCGGTAGGAGTCGGTAGAAGAGTGCCGACTCATCGGCGTTGAAGACATCCTTCGGCGCATATCCCTCAAGTAAGCCAGGAAGAACCTGGTCTTGCCAGTCGTGAATATCATCGGAACGAGCCGCGTGTTCACCTTCTCCAGCCTTCGTTCTTAGCGATAGCTGATGGCGCTTCTTGAACTTATCGCAGAATCTGCTGCTGGCGGAAAACTCTTCATCAGATATTCCGAAATGCTCGGCGAACTCTCTGGCTTTGGTTCGGATGGTGTCGTCGAAAACATCAACTCTGGCTGTCCTTGCCTTTACAACCCACTGGAACAGGGCGTCGTCCAGCTGAGGCCACTTGGAATGAGCAATCCGCTTCACCTTGCCGGAGCGTTGACAGGTTTCCCAACTTTTCCGACAAGAATCCTTGTTCTTCAAGATGGTCTAAATTGTGCTGGTAGGTTTTCCAGTCGCCCTCGAAATGTCACGGACTGACAACTTCCTTCTTTCATGATCATCGATAATTTTTATTTTCTCCTTCAAACTGATCGATACTCGTTGCTTCGACATGGCGGAACAGTTCACAACAAGCTTGCAATTGCAAGGAAAACAAATGAGTGACCGGCTCGCGCGCAGGCGCTAGCACTACTGTTGTAGTGTACATGTGACTGCGCTTGTACAGTTGTAGCTTTTTGTTGCACATGTGGCTGCGCTTGTACAGTTGTAGCTTTTTGTTGTACATGTGGCTGCGCGTGAAGCTCTTTGAGTCTTTCTCGTATGTGCTGTTGCGTTTGTGTCTCTGTGTCGTACATGCTGCTGCCCCGTGGTAAACGCTGTTGCGCTGTCTTTGAATGCTCTGTACATGCGGCTGCACCGTCTTCTGTCCCCTCCGTATGCACTCTTTCTCGTCTTGTCCCCGTTGTACACGCATTTTCTCGTCTTGTCTCCGTTCGTCGGACCGGTTGCCGTCTTGTCTCCGTCGTATTTGATCGTCTGCCGTCTTTGTCTCCCTTTTCGTTCTGGACTGGTTGTATCCCACACGGGCACCAATTACGCGTCCACCGCCTCACTTTTCCTGACGTCTTCAAAATACGTTCCCTTGTCTTGTCTCGGTGTCAGTAGTCTCGTAGATCGTCGTCTCAGCGCCAGAGGAGAAAAGTTCGTCCCAGTCGTAACAACACTACAGTATCACGCATGTGAATCTACGTTATATCGAGAGTGGGCACGTCTGGGACTGCGCTGCAGGTGCGTTATGTCGAGGTTTACGTTATGTAGAATTACGTTGTGCAGAACAAAATTTGTATGGGAGTGATGCTGTGTCGGCGGGGGATTTGATTTTTTTACGTACTAGCGAGGTTTACGTACAAGTGAGAGTTGTTATATCGAGAGTAGACCTGTATAACATGGCAGATAAAATCACAAAGGTCTGCAGCACCTACTCTGATGTCGTCTTGTAACTTGTCATACGCAGGAAAGACCGGAGTTCCGCAGCGCAAGCAAATTTCTTGAACGGCACACACTCAACCTATACCATCAGTGAACAGCAGTAGAACAGCAGCAGCAGCAGCAGCAGCAGCAGTAACAGTAGAATAGCAGCAGCAGCAACAGCAGCAACAGCAGCAGGAGAACAGATTTAGCAGGACAAAACAAACTCAAGGCTGTATGGCGTTACGTAGTATGCCTATACCAAAACCAGATGAGTGTGCCAATAGACCGTCCTGAGAATCAGGCCTAGGCGCTAATAGACCATCCTGAAAATCAGGTTTTTACAAAACCAGCTTCTATCTCTTAATTTGCTGGCAAATATCCTATATATAGGATTTGAAAATGTGTGCCTTTTATGCCGTTGTTATTGGTCATCACGACCAATAAAAACGGCATAATGGTTTTCATGGAAGTTGTAAATATGTTTGAGGCAGGAACGTTTACTTTTTAGATTCATAGGACGATAATAGTTCTGATGAATACCCATTTTTAGCAAGAATTGGAACTTTGAGCAGCATTTTTCAGCTCCTGTCATGGAAAGGATTGAAGCAGTGAATGTGCAGAAGAACATTACATGTGTGGCAAGGGGTGGTTTCATGACGACATATCGCACATGCCGTCGTGAAACTACCAGTTTTAAGGATAAAACAAGGTCCATTAAAACCTCAAATCCTATATATAGGATTCGAAAAACAGAGCACAGGCACTGAAAACACTCTAACTGCTTATCATCTGTCTTGCTATTGACTGGCTAACATGTAACTCCACATCACGGCATGCAAGTACATGTATGTTGACAGGGTAAAGCTGGTGGGTAAAGCCGGTGGGTAAAGCTAGTGAGTAAAGCTGGTGGGTAAAGCTGGTGGGTAAAGCTGGTGGGTAAAGCCGGTGGGTAAAGCCGGTGGGTAAAGCCGGTGGGTAAAGCCGGTGGGTAAAGCCGGTGGGTAAAGCTGGTGGATAAAGCTGGTGGGTAAAGCCGGTGGGTAAAGCTGGTGGGTAAAGCTGGTGGGTAAAGCCGGTGGGTAAAGCTGGTGGGTAAAGCCTGTGGGTAAAGCTGGTGCGTAAAGCTGGTGGGTAAAGCTGGTGGGTAAAGCTGGTGGGTAAAGCTGGTGGGTAAAGCTGGTGGGTAAAGCTGGTGGGTAGTGAGTAACTGTTTCAAGCCCAGTTTGGTACATACTTCTTACATTGCACATCACCGTTGTCTAGGCCATGGCCAATAGCCAGCTTTCCCAGGGCATGACCAACAGCCAGCTTTCCCAGGGCATGGCCAATAGCCAGCTTTCCCCGGGCATGACCAATAGCCATCTTTCCCAGGGCATGGCCAATAGGCAGCTTTCCCAGGGCATGGCCAATAGCCAGTTTCCTCACAGCAACCCTATCAGCTCATCATAGCAGTTGACCCTCAACTCGGGCAAGGAATGAAATCAAGCATTTTCCGTGTCAGTCGCAATGGCTCATCTTGCCATTGAACACACCCGTCAAAGTCTATGGCCATCGTGTTGTGTCTTCGGGAAACATTCAGCCATCATGCATCCAGAAGGCAGCCATCATGCATCCAGAAGGTGCTTAAGTACATGCTATCGTGCAGCAGAATGAACACTGCAACCGGCATCACCGCGACTGCTGTCACTGGCATTGGAACAAAACCAGCAGACCTACAAATGCCAGGACCAAATTCCAGCATTGCCACCACCACCATCACCACCACCACCACAGGACCAGGTGTTACCTGTATCCACCACACCAACTAACCAACTAACCTTTGTGATCTCCTGTATCCACCACACCAACTAATCAACTAACCTTTGTGATCTCCTCACCAAACGTAGGTTTCCACCTAGCAATCGGTGTGGTTGCTGCTGCTGAGCTGGTGTTTGTATCACCAACTGCTAGACGTACACCAGATAACAGTGCTGAGAGACTGGAGTTGAACTCAGAATACGCCCTGAACAGTACATAAACAGACATGTCCATGCAGGCGTACACACGCACACACGCACACACACACACACACGCGCGCGCGCACGCGCACGGCCCCAACGGACAAGAATGATTTAGAACCTTAGCTAAGATCCCTGGAATTGACACACAGCCGGAGGGAATGCTACCTCCCATGGCAATCAGGTCATTGCATGTTGGTGAGAGATAAAGATAGAGATATATGAGAGAGAGAGAGACGAGAGGGAGAGAGAGAGAGAGAGAGAGAGAGAGAGAGAGAGAGAGAGAGAAAGTTACATTTCTGAAGACAGGTAAGTCTAACAAATGAGGACTGAGACCTCTACAACAGGGTCTTTATGCCTGAAAGCAGGTGCATGATTTAACAAGCAGGTTGTCAGTCTAGATTTTATGCGCAGATGGAGAAAAAAGCGCAGGATTTTTGTAATGAGATGAAAAGCAGAAATAATAAGAAAAAGAAAAGATGAAATGAAAGCCTGCTCACAACCCCGCCCAGCCTTGCGAACTGGGTATGGTGGATTAAGAACCCGGTTCAATGCTCGAGCAAGCGCTCTCCACTCAAGGTGTTCACAGCAACTGATAGGAACTCATATGGGGAAATGATAGAAAAGAAATAATAAGATAAAGAGAATAAATTTCAACGCATCTCAATGAGAGAGAGAGAGAGGTGAGAGAGAGAGAGAGAGAGAGAGAGAGAGAGAGAGAGAGAGAGAGAGAGAGAGAGAGAGAGAGGCGAGAGAGAGACGAGAGAGAGAGAGAGAGAGAGAGAGAGAGAGAGAGAGAGAGAGAGAGAGAGAGAGACGAGAGGGAGAGAGAGAGAGAGACGAGAGAGATGAGAGAGAGAGAGACAAGAGGGAGAGAGAGAGAAAGAGAGAGAGAGAAAGAGTTCAAAGACCAGGGGAAAAATATGGTAGCAAGCATGGCACATACGTACCTTGCTGCGGCCGGTGTAACACCTCGTGTTTTCATTGCTAACACTGACACTGCACCAGTACCGTCAGGTGACCGACGCATGCTACTGACAGACGATGGTCTAGCTGGCTGTGTGGCGGCTGTACTGACTGAACTTGTGGACAATGTGGGTAGCAAATCATCTGCGCTGTCTTGCCAGATATACGCACCCACATTGCGATCCAGCCACCCTGTTGACAGCATATCACCACCTGATGTAGTACTGGTAGCAACAGCATGGGATGATGATGTCATGCTTGACCCTGATGATGTCATCGCATGCATATCAGCTAGAAGTGCGAGTACTGATTCATGAATAGCACTACACGCAGTTGACAACTGAGTGGCGATAATCTCCTGCATGCGAGTCTGTAGGTTATTGCGTATTAGCTCATCATAGAGTATGACT